ACTTACCTACCATAAGACACACCTGGCAACTGGAGGCGAGGCTGTGTTATCGCTGGACAAGCAGATAGAGAACAGAGAGTCCAGGCTACGATGCTGCTTTAGGAAAATGCCATTAACTATGCTGGGTGTGGTATGGCCTTTGTCCCCTGTGAGACATGTGACATTTTATGAAAACGTAATCTGGTAAAAACCAGTCTGAACTCATCCCCCAGGGCCCAGCTTTGACCTTCCTGCTGCTTCCAACAACACAGACAAGCTTTCCATCTTCTCAGTACCAGTGAGGGAGAAGATAAGGTGGATTCAGGGGGTAGGCAGGAAGTAGAATGAGATATTTAAGAGCATCAGCGGACACAAGTACCTGGGTTCAGAGCTCAGCTCCACCCTGAGCTAGCTGAGTGACTTTGGGCAAGTGACTTACCCTCTCTGCCCCTGCTTTTCTCATTTGTTATTTGGGGAAGTCTCCACTTCACTGGGTCATTGTATTAATTAAGGTGATCCGAATAAAGAGTCCGGCCTAGCTGGGTTCACAGCACATTCTCAATGGACAGAAACCTCGATCATCACAGAAGAGGACTGGAATTTGCCTGGAGCAGAAGAAGCGCTCCTGTACTAAGCCCCCATCCTCGTTAAGGAAAAAGACTAGAAAATAACAAATGTTTCAAGATGACAAGGTCTACCTAACTCACCATATAGTAGAAAGAGCATAAATTGACGATGAAAAGTCGCAACCAAAATAGGCTGCATTAAACAAACAAAGCCAGCAACAGCATTAGAAATCCACAAGAGGAGAAGGGAGCCATGCACTCAGCAGTACCCGAGCCCCCAGGCCCTGGGCTGACCGTCGGGCAGTGCAGGTCCAGCCTAACCCAGCTGTCCAGCGGGCCTTGGTGCAGCTGATGTTCATTTTGTCTTATCTCGGCACTTGCGTCCATTCCCATTCTCCCTCTCGTTCCCTCAATATCTTTCTGCTTCTCCTGACCACCTTGTCCCTTTGTCTTGGCATCCTGAAGCAACAGTAGGGAAACTAGAAATAAGAATTCAAGAAAGGAGAAAAGGAGGGAGGGAGGAAAGGAAGGGAAGGATGGGAGAAAGGAAACGGGCTCTCGGATCAACCAAACATGATCTAATCCATCTAATCCTGTTGCCATAAATTAAGCGGGGGGCTGTGTGACCTCGAGTAGGTTCCTTGCCCTCTCTGAGCCTCAGGCCTATTGGGAGTTCCAAGTCGGAGAGGCTGTGCAGAGGTACTCAAAGTTTCACAGGGATCCTGCACGTGGTGGGCCTTCGATACCTGAGAGTCCCCCCTCAGCTTTGTTGGATCAGGGGAGTAAGAGGTAGAAAGGAGGAAATTAGGGGTGATAATCGAATGCACTGCAGAGAGGTTGGGATCGTCAGTTCTCCACCCCTCCACGTGATCGCCCAAGACACCTGGTGCCCCCTTTTCCCCACGGGGCTCATCTTTTTTAAGCATCCCCGGTAAAAATCATCCCAGTGACCTTGATAGCTCTCGTTTGGAAAGGGCCCCCTTGTGAGCCCTCCTAGGTGACAACTACAGCATCAAGGAAGGTAGTGTGGTGTTATGGTTAGCCACAAGGTTCTGGAACCAGGCGGGGCCAGTGCCTGACCCCACCACTTATCACTGCTTCCTTCAGTAAGCTCCTCCCCTCCTCTGCGCCTTAAACTCCCCCCTCCACGACCCCCTGCTTGTGAGAGGGGACTCTGGACTGTTGTGAGGACTGAAACAAGCGGATCAGACACTAAGCTCTTAGAAAGGTGCCTGGCTCACGGGAAGTGCTTGGTAAATGGCAGCCGTTTGTTAGGGTCCGGCTATTGGTGTCAGTCTCAGCACCAGCTCAGTAACTTACAGTCACAGCATCCTTGTCGTCCCGGCCCCAGAGAAATAGGGGCTAAGGCTGTTTCTTGTATCGGTTGCTGCATCATGGCTCGTTCTGTAGCCTAGATTGCTGATGTAACGAGGATTTGGTTCCTTCCGAGGCTACTACTGCGTTGTATTTGTTATGAATGGGCATGTTTTTATTGCTCTGTTTTACCCGCCTCACGTTGTCCTCTCAGATTAAAATAATAATACCTTAGTTAATAATACCTTACACTTGGGGAGTTGCTTTCATCCCGACAGCTCAAAGCCCTCTACGAACATGACCTCATTCATTCTCCCTGGGCTCCCAGAAGAGGGGCACCCCTACCGTACCCGGCCAGAGCAGGAGAAGTCCTGCCCCGGTTCATCCCGACCAGATTCCCAGAAGCCAAAGGATCGATTAAGCATCATGGCCTCACAACCACAAATCACAGGCAGAACTTTACTGCTTTCTGGTCACTCAACCTGGAGTGACCTTATGCTCACAGCAGATAACCAGAACCCGAGTCGCTCTGGCTAGCGGGCCTTGTCCTCCATGCCTCTCCCAGGTGCCCATAGCTGTGTCCTGCCAATGGTAAACATTAAATAACCTTCAAGATCGACTGCCTCGATATGCAGGAGACAACAGGTTTGGCAATTCGGCCATTTTCAGGACCTTAGTCTTCTGTGAGAACTTCTTTCTTAAGACCTGAGGGCTCCTTCAGCCTGAAACGCCTCTGCTCAGGTAGATCCTACTACTCACGGCCCTGGTATGTTTGACACTGGCATGTACTTGTGAAAACTGGGGCCCCACAATGACAGGACTTCCTTGTTCTGGGGCTGCTTGTGGCCTGAGCTCCCTGGCAATGGAAGCTGCCAGCTGCTCACTTTTGTTTTCTCCTTGCAATTACTGGAAGGGAAGGGCTGCAAGCTGTACTTGACTCTCTAGCCACACTCTAGGTCTTAGCCCGTGCACACTTTGGGGTGGCCAAGTGCAATTACAGCAAGAAAAACGGGTCTCAGCAGGTAAAAAGCTGACTCCTGTCTCTTCAAAACAAACAAAGAAACAAAGAAACAAACAAACAAAAGACTAACTAAATGGGGGTAAACTCATTACAGTACCTGAGGCTGTATTTCATCAGTACATACACACTGAGTATACTATTTTCCCTATTTATATTCTACTTTTTACATGGTCAAGTTTTCTTAGGTGGAGAGTTAAGTCCACTTTAGGCAAACTCAAAATAGAACCATGGCTTGTTTTCTTCTTAGGCTCCTGTTCTGCAGACACTTAACTAGTTAAAATATACTCCGATTGCTATTTCAGATCCAAAATGTATTGTTTTTCAGAAACAGACAATCTAGCAGCAAATCTCTAGCAATATTTACCTTCCCAACCTCTCTGCTCCTCCCTCAGTCTGTTTAAACTAGTTCTTTCTCCACCCGCACAATTCCCAAACACAGCCCTGAAGGTCAAATCCTAATCCAGAAGTTGGAACTCAGCACATGGAAACTTTGTTTATGAATGGTTAGTGTTGAGGGCCAGTAACTGTACTTTTTTTTTTTTTAAAGACGGTAGAAATTAAAGATTTGGTTAGGTCAATCAATTTAAAAAAAAAATCTGAGTTTAAGATATTAGTGA